CTGTCATAGTGGTAGCACAACTGGAGAGAACAGAATCATGGTGATGGCAGGTGAAAAACAGTGAAAGGGCTGCACTCAGGGAAATGGAAATTGATATTTCTTACCGATTCTTTTATTCCAAGAGCCAGGGTACCAGATTCCTTGAAGCCCCGAAGATTTGGCTCAAGTTATTGAACGTTAGGTTTGCTGGGGGGAGGATATCTCCACCCATGATTTAATTATGGATTAAAGGGAGACCTGGCATTTGTACTAAAATCTGGGGAGAGGGGAGGGGGGGTTATATAATTTCTCAAAGATCTGCTTATATGAGCTTTATCAGTACCAGTGCATATATGGAATAATTAGTGTCATCTATGAGACTCTACTGGCATCAAGATGCACTACTCTATAAATAACTGAATGTGAGGCCTTATTTCTCAGTTGGGGCAGAAAGTTGAGGTTGTTGATGATGATGTACCATTCTTTCTGTTGTTCAGCCAGGGCTGTTCAATGTAATGGCTAGCATAGAAGTGTTCTCCCATGACTAGTGTGGTTGGGAGACTTCGATGTGCCTTCCCAGAGTGAAGGGTCTGGAGCAGCATAGGAATACATGGCTGCAATGATAGTCACTGACCTGCCCCCATTTACAGTATATTATAGAGTCAAACGGAGATCAGAGTTACACATTAACTGTTTTTGCAGCATGATCTGAAAGGTGTGAAAAACTGACCTTAGTCCCTTGTCATGAACAAACCATTATCTCTTTTTGTTCTACAAAGGAAAAGAACCTTTTAGATTAGTCTTCTTTAGATACCTATCGAATCCAATGGTTTTCAGAAGGTACTTAGGGAATTTCCTGAAGATCTGTGGGCAGTTCGGTCAAAATCGTGATTGGCCACAGGAATAAGGGGGCAAATAAGGGATTAAACCAATTACACCAGAGTAGCCTCTTCCCACTCACAGATCCACTGCAGCTGCTCAGCTTCCTGAAGAATTTAGGGAAATGAAGAAAGGGCAACAGCTAGGGCATCGCTAGAGAAAGTCCCACCTCATATCTTTACCTATCAAATAAGAGTTCAAATCTGAACTCGCATCGTGATGATTCAAGGGACAAAAAGGAGGTGTTTTGTCATTTTATTGGGTCTTCTGAATGCTGCTCAATGGCTTTTTGTAAGATGACTTGTTCCCTTTTGATGATTAGGTGACATCAAGCTGATTAGCAACCACATAGATATATTTTCTTCATGAACATCTGTCCTCAACTTGATCCTTCATTGATGTTCTTATTACAATTATTTTCACCTTGCTGCTGGACATCCTCTTTTTTCCCACTTTTCCAAGAATTGTAAATTTCTCAAAAGAGAAGTGACAAAATATAATAATTTAAGCACAGTAATTTGTGCCTCAAGTACGAACAGATTAATTAGTCCTATAATCCATTTGTTTGTTTTCATGTCATGATTCCATGGAATTTCATGGAAGCATGAAATTCTCAAATGTCTCCTATAACTCCAAAATCATTCATTCTCCCGCTTCATTTCTGTTTCCCTGTCATTTTAAAAATAATAAAATAAAAATAAAGTCATTTCCCTTTTAGAGAAAGACAATATTCAAGAACATCTGAAGGATCACTGTAAAGAATTTTCACAGCATTTGGCAAATAAAATCAGTTAGATTCAAATGGAGTTGGATTCTAGCTGGACAGTGCTAATGAAAATGACTGGGGCTTTTCTTTTGGAAGTGATCTGTGTACCTGAAGATTTTCAATATGGGAGGAGTGGGAGTGGGGGATAGCCTAATTAAATTCCTGCAAGGCAGAGTAGTTTTGGGTTTTGGGACCTAACCATTCTAAAGAAATGTCATCTTTGACTCTGAATGAAGTTCTGGGCACTTTTATCACTACATCCATACATGTAACAAAATTACAGAATAACAAATTCCTTCCTCTCAGAGATCTGGTATACTTATTTCCTTTTGGACTTCAGGACAGTACTTAAGACCTGGTTGTTCCATCCAGCACAGGAGAAGTGCTTGTTGTAAAGGAAGTCTGGAATCTGGTGGGTACATTATTTTGTATATTTCATGTTTATTATTTTAATGTTGTTTTTATTCATATTGTGCATTGGTTGGGGGGGGTTGTCATCGATGTTGATGTTAGCCAACAGAGCCCCTGGGAATGGGAGATATACAAATAGAGTAAATAAATAAATGATAGAAGTATTCTGGCTTCAACTGCACACACTTCTCTGATTCCTTGGCTTTTCTTTCTTTGTTTATGCAAAGTAACCTAGGCAGACCATAGTTGGAAAAGGAGAAAAATGGAAGGAAAGAAGCTGCTTAACCTTTTCCAGCTTAAGATCATTTTATCCAAATTGCATTCTAATCTATATAGATCTAGATACAGGAATTGTGTAGGCTTCTGGGGTTCCCCCCCCCCAAAAAAAACCACATAGCTCGCAGATAACAATTCTGGAAAACAAATAAAGAATATTGCTAGTTAATCAATCTTCAGCAGTAACTTGCCTTCAGCTACTTAACTCTTTTTTAAAAATGCAGAAGAAAATATCACATATTTCTTGATAATGTATAATTTTATTTGGCTTCTACAAAAATCTTTTAGAAGTCACACTACTTCTTGCCTTTGCCTAGGCAGAATATTTTGCTGGGAACCACAAGGAATGTTGGGAATTCCAGAAATGTTCATCATACAACAAGAACCTGTACCACACAAACAGCATGGCATTTCCCACTTTGTCCTTCTCAAAAACAGTGATCTCTATCCCATACAACTTGACTTAAAAGAGAAATACCTCATCCCCTCAATTCTCCATTATTCCACTTCTAAGATCAAGCAGAAATTGGCCTGGTTTACATCTTTTTATTTGTATTCACCATGTTTTTCATTGCATCTTTTCTTCATGAAGACAAAAATGTCACCCCTTTTGGATAACAGGTTTCTTGTTATTTATTATTTGATCAGAACTACTATTTTTCAAAATTAAAGCAGAATTTCTTTAGAAAGTGACTGTATGTATGTGAAATATATGTAGAATATAGATCGGATTTGCACAATTTGTCGAGGAGAAAAGGCCACAGTGACAAATTAAAAATACTTGTGGGCTGCAAAGAAATACCTGGAGTGCCATTCAGCTGTTCCACAGCTAGCTGGAGCTGGTGGATGGCAGTGAGGCTTGGAGGTACTTGGCAGCATAACTTCTGGCACAGTGGCAGCAGCGACTTACTTTTTAGAAACATTGGCGAACCATATAAGACTGCTTGACAAGCTGTTTGAAACCCACATGCCATGTGTTGTGCAGGCCTGGTATAAATGATGGTCTTGATACAGAGAGGGAAGATGTGCTTTTCTTGCTGGATCTAATGGACAAACAACTGCGGTAGAAAAGACTTACAGACCTTTTTTTTTAACACAGTAACGACATAAAGATGGAAAGACTCTGAAATACCTCAAATGGAAGGATGATTGGTGAAAAAGCCAATTTAGAAACAGGGCAAAATTGACCTACTGTATTTAATTAGAGAAAAGAAAATAACTATGTTTGTCAATGACTGGAAACCCTTTATGGACTTTTTGATGAAAATACAAAAAAAAAATGTACTTGTGCTAGAGAGAGGGGGGAGGGAGGGAGAGATATGATAAAACTTAAATGCATTGTAACTGCCATAAAAAAGATTGGCAGACATTTAGTTTTTCTATTTTCTCTGTCTTTTTCTTTCATTTTTTAATTATTTTCTCACCACTTTTCTTTTATTTTCCTTTATTTTCTTTTTTATATTTTTATGCTGTAAAAAATTCTTCAATAAAAACAAAATGAGAGAAAGAGGGAAGACCCATTACCAACCAATCAAGCAGATAAACATTGGTTAAGTCATATGAAGATAGGGATTCAGGAAGACAGGTCCCCCCCCCCCTTAATTCACATGAAGAGGGATGAGGGGAAGCACATTCAGATTTCCAAGATTTTGTTCCTGTAGCTATCCCACTAAAACTAGTTTTAGGCTTACTCACCATCAGCCTCTTGATTGGTCTACCTAATAGCATATTACCTATATTAAAATAATTTTATATTTCTATGAGCTATTCTTCATGGAGAAAATCTGACTTTGCTAAGAGTGGACACCAACTTAATGGCACATAATCTGCTATTTTAGAAAAAGGAGAAGATGTTTTAAAGATCAATATTATATACATATAGAAGTTCTCAAAAACAGGAAAAATAACAGTCAAGTCTACCACATGGTAAATTGGTGAAGATCAGAGAAATATCAGACCGTCAATAAAATGAGATCAGTCGTCAAATTCAGTAATATATCTTTCCCACATCCAGAATGTTGGACCGGCTAATATGTTATTATAAAATAATGTTTGATATATCTTCTACTGAATTGAATCCAGTTAATGTCTGTTTACATCACCTAGCTGTTTTGTGTTTAGTTTCTCTGAAATGTATATCCAGTTCTAGTAGATATTAAAAAGTGACATGACTGGGGAAGACTCATACTAGGGAATTAAAAATTGGTTGAATGGTTTCTTTAGGCTAAGCTTTTCTTAAACTGAATATACTACTAAATGAAATCAGGGTTCATTTAGGATCATCTTCTTAAGCTAGAATAAAGGTCCAATACAAAATTCTTGGGATAAATTGCTTGTAATCCCTCAAGACAACATTTCCTTATCATGGAAAAGCCTTCCTAAAAAATTAGATTTACCTCAACTTTGTATAATCCGAAAAAAACAGTGTTCTAAACAACTTTTTTTAATTGGTTGGATAACAACATTGGAATTTTGCATACTGTATATTTATACATACATTGCTCCACTTTAGCTTAGGTTGTTTGAATTTTTTTCATCTTTGCAATGTTCTATTCTATGTATTTTACCATGGAAATGTCATGTTGTAGCACATATTATATGAGTGTGCTAGTATAAAATCAGAGAGAAAATCAGATTGATCTCCCTTCTTTTCATAAACAAGGAAACTGATAGATTGCAATATACTTACTATTCAGTGAAGAATCTGGCAATGCCATATTGACCAATATCTTCCTTGCTTTCTAGTAGCTGACTCACTGCATCTTCCATATAAGTAATGACGTGCCTTTGGGCTGAAATTAAGAGTAGAATTTGTTATCCTGTAAATGTCTTAACACATGTGTCTTTCTGTTCATCCAATTAGAACAATTAAAAATGTAAATACTTAAACCTTTTGCGATGCTTCTTACATCCTGGAACTGAAAAGCATATACACTGACCTTGTTCACACATTTCAGTATGCCTTAGTTTCATTGGTTTAGGTTTAGCATATATTAATTCAGGCACTGAATATTATAACCCATGACTGATGTTATAATACTTAGCACTAGCACTTAGATTTATATACTGTTTCATAGTGCTTTTACAGTCTCTCTAAGCAGTTTACAGAGTCAGCATATTGTCCCCAACAATCTGGGTCCTCATTTTATCCACCTTGGAAGGATGGAAGGCTGAGTCAACCTTGAGCCCATGAGATATGAACTGCCGAACTGCAGCTAGCAATCAGCTGAAGTAGCCTGCAGTGCTGCACCCTAACCACTGCGCCACCTTGGCTCTTCTTTGTTATAATTTGCAATTTGTTACAACAAATTATTTGACTGTGAATTATTAGATAAACTGTATGTGCCCCCTAAAGTTGCCTTCTGGCAAGTTGGGCAGCGTATAAATTGAATAAATAAACAAATAGGCAAACTCTGTGTGAACACAACCAGGTGTACAATCTTATGCTATCATCTTAATGAAACCTGTCCTGAAAAGTGTACATCCTATGTGCTGAGATATCTGAAATCCTGAGATTTGATCACATTTTCTCCACATCATTAAAACAATTCTTAAGTCAGGGATACATGTTTGTGTGTTATATAACAGAACTAAAAATAACATCATAAGTGAATAACTTATTGTGTTTTGTATTTGTCAGCTACTACGGGAAAAACAAATGAAATAAAAATAAAATTTTAGATACAATTATGTATTGGGCTAAGCAGATTCTTAATATATTACTGTTATGCAACAAAATAACCTACTAGAACCTTCCAGAGAGTGAGGTCAATTCTTACAGAACTTCAAACTTATTATTTCACAATCAATATTGGACCCACTTACATTCTGAACCTGCCATTTTAGTAGTGTGACCCTCAATATGTCTCACAAAGCCTATTGCAATTCCTGAGCCAACATAAGTTGGGCACCCATTTTAAATAGACTAAATGAATTCCTTTATTAAGATTAACAGAATAACAGAGCTGGAAAGGACCTTGGAGAACTTCTAGTTCAACTCCTTGCTCAAGCAGGAGACCCAACACCATTCTGGACAAATGACTGTCAATTTCTTCTTAAAAACCTCCAGTGATGGAACATCCACAACTTCTTAAAAAAAACACAACAATTTTTATTTGTTTTTTAACAAGGACAAACATAAAAATAAAAATAAAAAACCAATCTTCCATTACAAATTATAGAAAGTGTGTCAGTTAGTTATAGTATTTCCATGCATCTCTTCCATAATCACCACCTGCTTTTCATATCAAATTGCATATTTTAAATTCACCTACCGTATATACTCGAGTATAGGCCGACCCGAATATAAGCCGCGGCACCTAATTTTACCACAAAAAACTGGAAAAGTTATTGACTCGAGTATAAGCCTAGGGTGGGAAATGCAGCAGCTACCGGTAAATTTCAAAAATAAAAATAGATGCCAATAATGCTTTTCAAAGCCATTGTAAAAATTTGCTCTGGATAACAAATTA